GGAATCTGGTCGATAAGTGTTATAGAAACACCCAAGTCCTACCTACACTTAAAGCTTCCACCAGTAGCATCGCATCAGTGGAGAATTACTGCTCTGAAGTTGGTTAACATGGACCTGTGGTTTTCACACTGGTGGTCTGCAGACTATGTCTAAGGGATCCACGAAAGGTGACTCTGAAAATAAAGTTTCAGGCCCCAAAAAAGGCATTCCGTTTTTCTTATCAATCAAAAGTATGTGAATACTCCCACCTACAGGTCAAAACCCGGAAATGTTATCATTACCATAGAAACCCACAGTTTAGCGCCCTTTCTCACGTTGTGTCAAATGCTGTGCCAAGCAGGTGCAACATCAATAGTTGAATTCCATTCAGTCAGTTTTCAGTCTAAGGCTTCTAAGATAGGGATCCGCGGACCACAGGTTGAATTTCCAAAGGGGGCCGCTCCTCCATTTGAGATTTTTTTAGGGGTCTGCAAATGAAAAAAGGTTGAAAATAACTGACATAGATAGAACCTACATCTAAAGCTCTATCAGTAAAGAATTAACCTTTGCGCCAACACCTCTGGCCTATTACTAAAGCCTTCCTTAAGAACTTTCCGTAATATTACTTAATGAAGGATGGCTTAGTTGTTGGCATTATCATTAAGCTAGGAAATTTGTTGCACTTTTATTTTCTCACAGATAAATTTTTGTTCTCTGTGCACTTGGCTAGTCCTGTATTTATCTTAGCTTTTTCTATAGTATCCATCACTGTATTCTGATGCCTTCTGGTGCATTCTGATGCCTTTGCCTACATATGGTCTTATTTAGTGATGCCCAGGGCTTTTCTGCTACATCTTTTTCAATTAGCTCCTCTAAATATCTAAGAGGTTATGTGCCCAAAAATAACTGCTGGCATATTTTATAGAATTTGGCTATCTTTTGCACCCACAAATCAGGCAGTTAAATGCAAAAGAGGTATAAAATGTATCTGCAAGTACAAGGTATGTAGGTGCAAAATCCAAGGCCAAAATGAGACTGTTTTACAAAAAGCCTTTATATGTATACTGAATCTCAAGGCCTTTGCCCCCATATTTGGAGAAAGTTCTAAGCTGGTTTCTAGTGCTGTTTGGAATTGCTTTCAGGATTCTGACTCTTACCTTCCTGTCTGTATGGGTTGGTGTGTGCTTTTCCCCTTGTGACTCCAGGTTTAACTTGTTTGTCTTTGCATTTTGTTGTTTGGGATATTTTACAGATACTTCATTTATGTTTATTCATGAATGGAGTAAACTAAAGTAAATATCTGCTTATCTGTTTTAAATCTCTGTACAGTATCATCAGTCAACCAGTTATGGAAAAGGACATACAATCTAGACACAATTTTTGTGGGCCCAAGACAAAATAAAAATGCTATCTGGGTGCAGTCTGTGCAGCTGCAGTTTAGTGGACACTGTCGGATCAAATTTTACCCAACATTTATGTTTTATTTTTTAAAAAATTACTAGAAATGCTTCCATCAAATTGAACAAACAGTTCAATACAAACAAGCTTTACGGAATAAATTGACATTCTCCTCTACAGCGATTGCAACCTGAACAATGCAGCACTGTGCTAGTTTGTGAGAACCAAATATCGAAGTTGACCATGCTGGGTGAAATGCCATTTGTAGCAGGAACAAAATTAGAACTTTAAAATGTTCACTTTTAATAAACATAGTTAATTTGTAC